GTTGCAAGTTCAAGACCACCTTAGGCTACAAAGGGAGCTGAAGGCCATCCTGAACTGCATAGCAAGACCCTATCTCAAAAAGACACAAAAGAAGAGGAGGGAAGAGTCTAGTCAGTCTCCCGCCCTTCAACCAGGAGATCAAACTGCTCAGCAGCTTTGAAGCTGGCACTCATGGCCACTGCCCACAGGCCAAGCTCCAAGGTCAGGATTTCCAGCACCTTCTCTTTCTGCTGGACACTCAGGAGATCAGAAGCAAATTTCTCCTGTGACCTCCACAGAGACTTAGGAGGTGGGGCCCTGGACCCTAAGTGCTGAGCTTCCCCCTCCCTACATTGTGTTTGGGCTTCTGCCAACTAGGAGTGTTGTGTAATAATTTTTTTTTTCAGTCCTGAGTATTGAACCCTGTCCCTTTGCACTAAGCCCTGAGCTACATCCCCAGCTCTTTTTCTATTTTTCATTCTGGTTTTTGATTCTTTTCTTTTTGTACCAGGAATTAAACTCAGGACCTTGTACTTGCCAGGCAGGCACTTATGCTGCTGAGCTACCTCCTGGTCCTGTTTGTTCTCATTTGGACACAGGGTCTTCCCTAAGCTACCCATACTGAGAATTTTTTTTTTTTTTTTTTTTATTTTTTAGCAGTACTGGGGATAGAACTCAGGACCTTGTGTTTGCCAGGCAGGTGCTTACTGAGCTGTGTTCCTGGCCTTCAAACTTTTTTTTTTCAAAGCTGTTGAGTTTTTGGGTTTGTTATTTTTTTAAACCAGGAATCCAACTCAGGATCTTGTACTTGCCAGGCAGGGCCTTGTGCTACTGGAGTTCAAACTTTTAATCCTCCTGTCTCAGCTTCCTAGCATGCTAGGTTTACAGTTGTGTACCACCATACCAGTCCCACAATTTTTTTTTTTTTTTTTTTTGTCTTTTTGAGACTGATTCACTAAGCAGTTCGCCTGGCCTTGAACTCACTTTGTAGCCGAGGCTAACCTCAAACTCACAGTGGTCCTCCTGCCTCAGCTTCCTGAGTGCTGGGATTATAGGCATGCACAACCAAGTTCAGCAAGATAATTTTAAATAGTCAGTTGATACAGGATTTTTTTTTTTTTTTTTTGGACAGGATCTCACTATGCATTCCAGGCTGGCCTTGAACTCACTATGTAGCCCAAGCTAGCTTTGAAATCAGTGATCCTGCCTCAGTCTCCTGAGGTGGGTGTTATAGGTGTGTACCACCAAGCATGATTGTACATGCTTGTAATTCCAGCCCTAGGAAGGCTGAGGCAGGAGGATAACTGAGTTTCAAGGCAGCCTGGGTTATAAAATGAGCTCAAGGCCAGCCTGAACTGCATAACAAGACCAGTCTCAAAAAGACAAAAGCAGGACTGGGGAAATGGCTCAGCAGAATAAGCGCTTTCCCGGCAAGTACAAGGGTCTGAGTTCAATCCCAGGTTCTGCTAAATAAAAAGATGAAAACAAAACCAAAGGAACAAAAAAATTATTTCATGTTGACATTTGCTTCCTATTATAGGCTGTATTTTGGCCCTTCTCTCCCAAGTTCAGGTTGAAACGCTAACCCCAGTAATTCAGAATGTCACTATATTTCAGGGCAAAGTATTTTTAAAATTCCTTGTTAAGGCAGATGTGTCACACACCTGTAATCCTAACACTTGGGAGGCTTAACACAGGAAGTAAAAAATGATGTCGGTGGACGACCTCCAAATGATTTAGGGGAAAAGTGAAACTCTCAACCTGAAAGGTACCTGGATTGAGTTCATGTTCCCTAAAACCAAAGAATGTATTTTAGGAACAAATGGAGGTTATGAGCAGAATATATTTATTGGGAGAAAGAAAGCTCCTGTCCAAGAGGGAGACAAGGGCGAGAGGGTTGTCCTTGGGAAGCTGTCTCTTCCAGGAACTCTTATAGAGGAAAACCATGTGGTGAGGTGGGTCTAAGGTGGTGAAGACATGGGAACTCATTTAGGTGGGTATGAGGTGGGACAAAACTATGGTCAACCAATGAGATTATAAGCACCATTGCAGAGGTAAAATTGATTAAATCCAGTATCAAATGGGGGAAGACAGTCATATAGCAAGTGGGAATGAATACAGGACAAGATCTCTTCCTGTTGGGGGTTGGGTTAGTGACTCATTTGGGCTCTTTCAAGGTGATAGATACCTACTCAGAATATCAATCCCTGATGCCCATCCCTAGGGAAGTCTGTAGCTGTTTCTTCTGTCTTGAGGTCTGACCCATATGACAGTGTCTGTCTCTTCTAAATTGCAAAGTCACTTTGTCTTCTATACTGTTTTCTTGAGGGCCTGGCCCTGTCTCATTACCTACAATATTTTTCTTCCCCCCCTCCCCCCAACCAGGGATTGAACTCAGGTCCTTGCACTTGCCAGGCAAGCGCTTATTCTACTGAGGCATCTCCCCAGCCCCACAATATTTCTATCTAATTTAGCTGCCTAAAA